CCCTTGGTGGCTTTCGCCAATCGATATCCTGACAATAAAAAAACAAATATCGAAGGAGAAAGATGGACCTACGAAGATTTATTAGTAAAAACAGAGACCGGTTGGAGGATTAGGCCATATGAAGAAATAAAGAACAAATTGACAGGTTGGATCCAATTTCATCAAATCAACTCTATCTGGACCGAGGATAAAAAAATGGGATAAGTGAGAAAAATCTAGATTCCAGATTGAAATATTAGAAAGTAAAACAAAACTCCTATCGAAAATGTATAGCCTGTTGCTCGAATGGGACACCAAAGATGAAGAAGTAAAGGAGGTAATGGTGAGATGGGCAATGGACTTTGGGTATAACATAGAGTTTGATAAATGGCAGGCACTATGGAATAAAGGTATGAGATTCTCGGCATGCACAACACTCAGGAATTTATGTACAAAATGATGTACAGGTGGTACGTAACGCCCGTAAAACTGGAAAAAATATATAAAACTGGTGATAAATTATGCTGGAAGTGCAAGATTAAGGAGGGCGATTTTTATCATATGTGGTGGTTGTGCGAGCCTATTAGAAAATTTTGGGAATCTATTTACAATGAACTAAAAAAATCTTTAAATATACCTTTATAAAAAGACCTGAAGCCTTTTGCTGGGGATAATTGGAGAGGAAATCAAAAGGAAGATCAAACACTCTTTCAGTACGCGACAGTGGCCGCCAGAACTCTAATAGCGCAGAATTGGAAGACACCAAGAATCCCAACCATAAATGAATGGCAATCGAAACTACTCGACTATCTAGAATTGGCAAAAATGACACAGAAAATAAGAAATCAAAAAGACACAAAGTTTAATAAAGATTGGAATAAATTCATGGCATACATGGAAACAGAGGTAAAAAAACCTAAAAAACACAGTAGGTGCGATATAACACTTGTGATGTAAAGAAATTTTTTTTGAGGAAAAGAAACTGCAGATAGAAAAATTTTATAACACATTCCGAAACCAAGATGAAGGGAAGTCAGTCAGTGTTGTGTGTTATGTAGTTAATGTAGTTAATTTGTTGTTGTCTTATGTCAGGAGTATATATATTTTATATATATATATATATATTTCTTTATTTAGTTTTTTTTTGGTGTGAATGTGTTGTGTTTGTCTTTTTTGTTTGTATGGTGTTATAAAATAAAATCTATATTAAAAAAAAAAAAAAAAAGTTTCTCCTACTCCAGTCTGTGGCTACATTTGCCCTTTTCTGCTTAGCCAATGCCAGGACCAGAGGGTGTGTGAGGGTGGAGGTCAAATTACTGGAGGCATCACTGCCACCATGCCTAAAGTTACTGTTGCATGTGATAAGATTTAGATTACTGCAATGCATTATACGTAGGGCTGCCTCTGTAGACAGTTCAGAAACTTCAGCTGGTGCAGAATTCAGCGGCCAAGTTGCTCACCGGAGCAAGACGATTTGTGCATATTACACTGATCCTGGTCTGTCTGCACTGGCTACCAATCAGTTTCTGGGCCCAATTCAAAGTGCTGGTTTTGACCTATAAAGCCTTAAACGGCTCAGGACCGCAATACCTCAAGGATCGCCTCTTTCCATATGAACCTATCCAGACCCTGAAATCATCTTCTGAGGTCCTTCTTCGTGTGCCTCCTCCTCGAGTGGTCCAGAGGGTGGCAACGCGAGAACAGGCCTTCTCTGCAGTGGCTCCCCATCTGCGGAATGCTTTCCCCAGGGAAGTTCGCATGGAGCCTTCATTATACACCTTTAGGTGCCAGGCCTTTGGTTGATCTGATTTACATCCTATGTCCTTTTAAAATATGGGGTTTTTGGGGGGGAGGGTAATTGGGTTATTGTTTTATTTTGATTATATATTTTGTGGTTTTATATTTTGATTTTGTTCTGTGAACCACCCTGAGACCTCTGAGTATAGGGCAGTATATAAATTCGATGATGGAGGAGGAGGAGGGAAACCCAGGAATAGTGTTATTTGAGTACACGATGAGAGAGTGTATAGAACTAACAGCTGGGTTTTGGGTTGTTGCTTTTGCTTGCGATATTAGCTTTCTTTACAAATATCCAGCAGATAGTGGAAAAACCCCGGTCTGGAGAAGGGCAGTGTGTGTGTGTGTGTGTGAGAGAGAGAGAGAGAGAGAGAGAAAGAGAGAGAGAGAATTCAACCCTCCAGGCCTTTCGATCTGGTCCACAGTCAGGATTTTCTTGGTTTGACAACCAATCCTTCTTCTCAAGGATGTCTTGGAACTGTAGCTAAGTGAAGGGGAATAGGGGCTCTCCTGGTTCTTCTCAGGACACTCCTAACAAACCACAGCTCCCATAATCCTTTGGGGGAAGCCATGACTATTTATAGTGGCATCATAGTTCTTCAGACGTGAATGTTGCCTAAGTTACATCCAGCCCAGGAGGTGGCACTGCCTGTCAGATTCCTCTTCTGCAGTCTTAATGTTTCTCTCGAAGAGCTCAGCAGGGAGGAGATGGTGGCAAAGTTAGAGTTAGTTGGTTCGGCCTGTCATTGGCTCTGGCTCCACCTTCAGCTGGCCTCTCTGTCTTCTTCCCCATAAGTCTCAAAGGACAACGGCCACCACGGGTCCCAGCCCAGCTCAAATATTTAGAGATGACAGCCAAGTTGGTTTCCCCCTTGAACTTCCCACAGCACGGGTAGCAGACATTGTCTAGCACCTGTTATTCATTAACCTGCAGTTAATATTGTTTTCTCAGTTAAATATATATCTACTATTACTATCCCTTTCTTTCTCTGATGTTAATTAGAAGGAGCTGGTGGCTTTTCAGCATTTTCTCAGAATGAGAGCCAATGTGGATGGGGCTAGGTGAGCAGCTCAGCTCCTCTACCGATGGTCTCCAGCTGCTGCTGCTTCTAAGGGAAGAAATACCAGGCTTGCCTGATATCTAATATTATGCATTACACCAGTACCTTGGTTCTCGAACTTAATCCATTCCGTGAGTCCATTCGACTGCCGAAACCATTTGAAAACCAATTGGCTGCAGGAGCTTCCTGCACTCAAGCAGAAGTCACGTCGGATGTTCGGCATCCGAAAAAAGTTCACAAACCGAAACACTTATGAAATATACTCAGAGTCGCAAAGTGATTTCATGCTCTTTATTCAACTCATAGTGGTGAGGAGGAATGAATGAATGTCCCCTCAAAGTATCTGCTTTATATACATTATTTACACAATGGGCTGCACATGATTGGCTAATTCCGGAATTCTACTGTAAGCCAATCAGGTTGTGGATTCAATTCTATCTGGAGCATGATTGGGTGGTTCCTGCCAACCAATCATAGTGCTGCATTGTTCTAGGACCAATCAGACTGCTGCCTTTTGGATCCAATTGTTCTAGGACCAATCAGACTGCTGCAGTTTGGCATCCTATTCAACTCAGTACATAACAACTTACTTCCGGGTTTGTGGCGTTCAGAAGCCGATTTGTTCGGGAGTCAAGCCATTCAAGTACCAAGGTACCACTGTACTAAGAGTATATTTGCATCAGGAAATGATTAAAAAAGCAACTTGCTCATAAGTTAGCAAAGAATTCCATTAGTTCCCCAGATGGAAAATGTTTGCATAACCCTGATGAGGAAATAGCAGAAGAATGGGACTTTGCATATTACAAGATTTATATGCACGTATAAGCACGTTCTTCTTTAATTTAATAATGTTCTAAGTACAGGGATGAGAATAAGCAAGGAAGGTTTCAAAGTTTCATTTGAAGAAGTGCATCAGGTGATATGAAGCATTCAGAACCAGCAAAAATTCAAACAAAAAGCACCCTCTTTCATACTTGTCTCTCTTAAGCAAATGATAATTAAAGAAAATGTGGCCTATAAGTCAATTAGAATTTAGGCTGAATAAAGTCCAAGGGGGGAGGTTGATCAAACAAGAGTTATACTGAGGTGTGAGCAAAGCTGTCAATTTTGGTTTCTCTCAGTTTCTCATTTTTCCAGTCTTCAGTGTTAAGTTGTGGGTGAACATATCAGACGACACAGCGATTCTTCAAACAGCTCTTGTTTATTCACAGGCCAGAACAGAACTGAACTGAAGGGTTCAGTCAGCCTGCTTATATAGACCTCCAGTACAATGTTACTGTAACAACTTTCTAAAACTTTGGATCCTTCATTTGCATAGCTATCTACAGTACCCCCCTGCTGGCCCAGAGTGAGAACTTCAGTACATAACACCCAGGTCTCTACATTTCCATATCACACTGATGATGATGATGATTAGCAATTTTGGGTGAGAATTTCTCTAATAGATGCATTTTGGAAAGCAATCTTAAGAAATAGAATGATGATCTGTATGTCATTTTCACTAATGTATGCATATTTTTTTGTTTGCACACTTTACCTTTCAGCCCCAGCCAGTGTTGTAAATACTGGGAGTGGTCATCTAGAAATAGCTGAGCAGACCACCCGTTTCCCACAGCAGCCCACAGTATTATCCCACAGTATTATCACAGGTAGCAAGTCTGTATGTCAATCTACACTGCACTGTATGGAGTAGATTAGTTTTGGTTCAAGGGAAGCCATTATCTTTCCTACCTCCTTTATCTGAGCAGGAAAAGGCAGGAACTTCAGGGGAGATGAGAGAAATGTTTTACAGTGTGCTGCCAACAGCATAGCTGCTCTTTGTGTTCTCTGTAATCTTGGTCCTGATTTGCATGTAGCCAGGTGTTCTGCTCTTCAAACATTTCTCAAGAACTGGATTTTCCTAGGCATCAGTGCTGCAGCTGTGCTTCTGAACTGCACATAGCCAAATGAGAATAATTGTGTTTTTTTTCAAGGTATTTATTATCAATGACACTGTTTTAGTTTTGTTTGGGTTTTGTTTTGGGTTCCCCCCCCCCCCAGTCTGAAGTTCAGTTCTCTACTGTAGCTTCTGGTTTTTTATATATATTTAAAAAGTCCACATTAAAATTCACCATTGTTTTAGTTTGAATGTTTCCAGGCATATACATCTTTCTGTGCCTTGGACCATCGGCTGTGGTGAGGACTGCAGGGCCTGCTCCCTTCCAGGGCCCTTTCCATCTGGCCCAGGGGAAAGGGCCCTGGAAGGGAGCAGGCCCTGCAGTCCTCACCACAGCCGATGGTCTCTTTGTGCTCCGGGGAGGTCACTTTGCTGCTGCTAATGCAGCTGTTTGACTTCACCCCCAGAGAACCAGGACCACTCCAGGAAGATATTGTTGCTCAGGCAAGGTTCTCAACTTCTATGAGGAAGTCCTCTTAGCCTCCTTCCTGACCAGGAGGGTAAAATGGCCAACCAAGGTAGGCGGAGTCAGTCTAGGGCCTGAGGGTCCTTCACAGGGAAAATGCCAGCTGCAATTCAGTGGTTGACCACACGGGGCAACTTTCCACAGTTCCCTTCTGCTCTTGATAAATTCTCACAGGTGATAAACATCTATCTGGAGTGGGCTACTTCATATAAAATAAGCCTGTCAGCAACAAGGATCACTTGTCTCTGGCAAACTGCCTTTCTGTATTCAAGATTTACATATATTCCTATTTTAATGTGGAGCAGCACTCAATTGTGTGAGCCTCCAGCTCAGTTCAGAGACAGATTGACTGCCTCATCTTCTGTTTGCAAGGACTATGGCTTCTGTCCATCAGCATTAAGTTCCTAAGTGTGTTGTGTTTAGCTGACCTGTATCTTGATATATCTGTATTTATTTAGCTCCACTTCCTGCTCAGATACAGCAAGGCTGAAGAGGCAGCAGGAAGGGATGCAGCAAATAGACTCAAAATGCAGTTTGAAAAACTGCAGTAATAAATAAGGGGCTTTATTCATAGACCCATAAAACATGTTGCATCCCATGGATGGAGAATCACTGCACATCTCCCCCAAGATTTGCCACCTATAAACCTGGCAAATTGTGTAGGGGAAATGGTGTACATTGATCATGCCCATGCTTAATCCACAGCAAATCTCACCAGTGTATCTTGTGGAGCAAGAACCCCTGCCAGTGTATATGGAACTGAAGCCTAGATACTATGGTCACTACATCATGGGTATAGCTAATAGCATCATTTTAACCACTGTTTAAAAGAAGAAGAAGAAGAAGAAGAAGAAGAAGAAGAAGAAGAAGAGTAGTAGTAGTAGTAGTAGTAGTAGTAGTTTGGATTTGATATCCCGCCTTTCACTCCCTTTAAGGAGTCTCAAAGCGGCTAACATTCTCCTTTCCCTTCCTCCCCCACAACAAACACTCTGTGAGGTGAGTGGGGCTGAGAGACTTCAAAGAAGTGTGACTGGCCCAAGGTCACCCAGCAGCTGCATGTGGAGGAGCGGAGACGTGAACCCGGTTCACCAGATGACGAATCTACCACTCTTAACCACTACACCACACTGGCTCTCATTAATAAATGTAAACAGTTTTTTATATAATTGTTAAGAAGATTAAATACTGAATTGAGGAAAACAACAACTGGAGACCTCCCTGGCATTGTGGGTAGCATTCTCTGCCCAACCAATCACTTATGCTTCTTGAGACATGAAGACTCCATAAAAGTTATGAAGACCAGGTGGCTGCCTTCTCCTGTAATTTATAAGCAATTTATTAAAATGTGAGGAGAGAGGGGTTAAAATCCCATGTGAAGCTTTCCTTGTTTTGAATGAACAACCCCCAGTCATAAAGCCAGGACTAATCAAAAGTTTCTGTGTCAATGTATAGAATTCTCTCCAATAAAAGAATAAAATGTCTTCTGTGTTAATATCACAGGCAAAATTCCCTTTCTGATACACTTAATAACAATGGACGGTGTTTTCCCATCCTTTTGGAATGTGTGATTGCAGTAATGGGCCAGAGGGAACCTATTTGTGCAATCTGTTGGGAAGATAACAACCCTGGCTCTTGATAAACAACTGCCAAACTCTTAGTTGGCACAGGAAGTCAGAGACCCACATTTCCCTGTCTGCAACCGAAGAATAACAGCCTACTTCTGTTGCTAGCAAAACATTACTCGTACCTTACCATTAAGCACTGAGCATCCTGGGAAGACAGATCCAAAACAACACATGGATGGTAACAGACATTATAGGATATTTTGATATGAGGCCAGACAAAAAGGCAGCCCTATTGTTGCTAAATGCCGAGAAGGCATTTGATAAAGTATCCTGGAAGTTTATGCATAAAACTATTGAGACAATGAAATTAGGTGAAAAAAATCTGCAGTGGGATCCAAGCAATATATAAAACTCAAAAGGCTAGATTGATCATAAATGGTGAATTATCAGAACCTTTTAATATTTCCAAAGGAACAAGACAAGGCTGTCCTTTGTCGCCCCTTCTCTTTATAATGGTCTTAGAAACATATTTAACAGTATTAAGAAATGATCCAGAGATAGAAGGAATAAAATTGGGGAAAAGACCCTACAAAGTTAAGGCATTTGCAGATGATTTGATAATAACAACCGAAAACCCAATAACTGAATTTTAGAAACATTGGCGAAAATGAAGGAATTTGGCCATCTATCTGGTTTTAATATTAATAAAGAGAAAACAAAACTTATGGTTAAAAATTTGGACATACAAGAAAAAGCAGAGTTAGAAAATGAGACAGGACCAAAAGTGACAAATAAAGCCAAGTATCTAGGAATCTGGATCACCATGAAAAAATTAATCTCTATAAGGATAACTATGTAAGGGTCTGGGGTGAGATAAAAAAAGAGTTGGAACTCTGGGGTAGACTTAAATTATCATTATGGGGAAGATTTTCAACAATTAAAATGGCCGTCCTCCCAAAAATGCTGTTTCTCTTTTAATCTATCCCAATTATCAATGGACTCAAATGTTTCAGTGTATCAATGGACTCAAATGTTTGCTAGGTACCTAGCAAGGTATATTTGGCAAGGCAAAAAATCCAGAATAAAATTTAAATTACTAACAGATTTAAAAGATAGAGGAGGTTTCACACTCCCCAATCTAAAGTTGTATTATGAAGCCGCATACTTGGCTTGGTTGAAGGAGTGGATGAGCCTAAAAAAACGCTAAGTTACTCAATATGGAGGGGTGGGATAATAGAGTAGGATGGCATGGCTATTTGGGGTACAATAAAATCAAAATACATAAAGGATTTCTTAACCATATTATTAGGAAAGCTTTATACGAGGTCTGGGACAGAAATAAAAGGTTGTTGGAGCTGAAAACTCCTTATTGGTTATCACAAATGGGGGCGGTTGCTGTGAAAAGGAATAATATGGACACCAACTGGCAGACATATAAAGATTTATTAGTAGAAGAAAACAATAAAATAAAATAAAATTGAAAAATTATGATGAACTTAAACAAATGGGGCTAAGCTGGTTACAATATCATCAATTAAACTGAATTTTTGAGGAAGACAGAAAAACAAATGGATTTGACAACAGAATATCAGATATAGATAGGGAATTGCTCTCAAATGATAAAAAGAATTTGTCCAAAATGTACAACTTATTATTAAACTGGCATCTAAAACATGAAGAGGTTAAGGATGTGATAGTAAAATGGGCCCAAGACGTCAGATATACTATAGAATTAGAGAAATGGGAAAATCTTTGGAAACGTGATATCAAATTTACAGCCTGCTACCTAATTAAAGAATTTTTAAAAAAAGATGATGTATAGGTGGTACCTGACTCCATCAAAATTGGCAAAAATGAATAAAAAATAAATAGCAGCAAGTGCTGGAGGTGTAACCATAAAGACGAGAATTTATTCCACATGTGGTGGACATGCCCCAGAATGAAATTATTCTGGAACATGATATACAAAGAATTAAAAAAAATGTTAAAACACAACTTTTTTAAAAAACAAAACAAAAACAGAGTTATTCATTTAGGTATCTTCACAACAGACATCCCTAAGGAAAACAAAAGAGTCTTTCTATACACAGTTACGGCCACCGGGATTGTGATTGTAAAGTACTGGAAAAGCTACACAATCCCTACAAAAGAAGAACAGTTATTAAAATTACGTGAATATCTTGAATTGGCGAAATTAATAGAATTAGTAAGAAACCAACCAAGTGAGAAAATTAGGAGAGAATGGGATGTCTTTACAAATTATATGAAAAAAGTAGGTTCCCAAAACTATGACTGGCATAGTCTAGATTAAAAACTCCACAGGTAAACAAATTAGCTCTCCACTAAATTTAAAATGATTACAAACAACCAAAGATGTGAGATTATTGGAACAGTATAGGGGTCGAAGGAAGTCAATGTACTAATCAGGGAATCTAGCCAGAAAATCAGTGAATGCTTGTATTCCTTAAAAGATGTGTATAAGAGGCAGTTTCCCCCCTCTGTTTTTCTTTTATATTTTTTCTTTTTTCTTTTCTTTTCATTTTTAAGTTATTCAACGTACTTACATTTTCTATTTTTTATTTAGGTATTTTTCATTTTATTATTCATGCTTCGGTATATGTTAGTTTTGTCGCAGGTCAAATTAAGATAACATGTATCTTGTTTACTCTCTTTATTATTTGTACAACTGATTCTTTTCTGAATGTAACATGTATAAAGCAAATAAAATTTATTAATAAATAAATAAATAAAAAATGGAGGGGGGGAGCACTGAGTATCCTTGCTAATTGTCCAGAACTCAAATCTTGAGAAGGCCCATGCAAGGTCTGAGCTTCAGTACCACAACCAGCAGTAGCAGATGAAGGCCAAGGACAAGATGTCAACTGCAAAATGGGGGCCAATATTGCTTTTGAGGCAAATAGACCAGCTCACATAGGTGAGGTATGGGCATTTTTCTCAGTCTGAGATCCACCTTTCGTGTTGGGCAGCCCTCTGGAGAGTCAGTGTGGTGTAGTGGTTAAGAGTGGTAGACTCGTAATCTGGTGAACCGGGTTCACATCTCCGCTCCTCCACATGCAGCTGCTTGGTGACCTTGGGCTAGTCACACGTCTGTGAAGTCTCTCAGCCCCACTAACCTCACAAACTCCACTGTGGAGTTTGCAAAAGTCTGCTGAGAGGCACAGGAAAGAAGGTCCTTCATTTCTCCATATGGACATCCTCTTTCATTCCAAGTCTCAAAGTATGGTCAAAGCAGGCTACCAGCCCCTCACAATCCTTTCAGAAGGCAGCTCGCCCAAGTTAGAAATAGAAGAT